GTGGTGGGTTCAAACCCAGCTTCAGCTAAAAACTGAAAAAAAAAAAAAGTTCTTGAGGCAGAGAATTCAGTGACAAGAATAGTAGTAGTAATAATAACAGGCAACATTTTTTGAATATTAACTTTATATGAGGCATGATCTAAGTAAGCACTTATGTGAATTAGCTCATTTAATCATCACATGACTCTTAAGAGGCAGTACAAGATGTTATGAGATTGACATCTTTGATATGAAAGAGAAGGATAAAAATCCCTTCTATTATCTCAAGTGACTCAACTCTGCCTTACTTGCAAACCCAAGTTTAGCAAAATAAAGAAAGGTAGGCAGCTGAACTCAAAAATAGCTTAGAGATAAGCCATTGTAAGTGAGCATGCCCTTTGGGGATCCAGTCATGCACGGAGACACAGACACCCTCCATACACACATGTATTAGGTAAATATTTTTTTTTCTTTTTGTAAACTGGACTTTTATGAATTGGCACCCATGATAACTGCCCATCTTTCTTACTACCACATTCAGTTTTTAGATAAATGCATTTTAATTCCTGTTTTACTGTCGTATTCATTTTCTATTGCTGTGCAACAAATTACCACAAAATTAATAGTTTAAATGCACATGTATTATCGTTCAGTTTCTGTGGGTCTCTCAGTTTACCCAACTAGGGTAAACCTAGGGCTTTAATAATACTATAATTGAGGTATCAGCTAAGCTGCAATGTGAGCTTGGGAAAAAGCCATGGTTAGTAAAAGTTAGTTTCTTACATCTGTATAATGAATGTCCCATTTTCTTATTAGCTGTTGCCGTAGACTGCTTTCTGCTCTAGAGGTCCTTGCCACATGCTCCCCTCTGGGGGCCTCCCACAACATGAGAATTGATTTCTTTAAGTCTAGAGAAGAATCTCTGACCTTGCAGGGGATGAGGAGTAGGGGAACAAAATTCGACCATTTTTTGAAGGGCTTATCTGATGAGATCAGACCCACCAGGATAATCTCTCTTTTAATAACTCAGAGTCAACTGATTAGGAACCTTAGTACATCTGAAAAGTTCTTTTTTCCATATGATGTAACATAATCATAGAATTGATATCCCATCATAGTCACAAGTCTTGCTTACACTTAAGGGGAGAAAATAATACAGGCTGTGTACACCAAGAGAAGGGTGTGAGCTAGTAAACAAGAATTTTGAGAAAGATTTCTCCAAACAAAGATTAGGATAGAAAGAAGAAAAAGTTTATTTTACTTTTCCAGACAGACAAGGCGCCAGCACAGAAGTGAAAGTGAAATGTTGTTAAGGCGGAGAGAACCAGGTACTCGGATTTTTATTTAGGAGTCATAAGGGGGATGAAGAAGATTTATGTCTATAGCCAAATTAACAGAATACTGTACACAGCTACATGGCTCCTCCTCTCTTCTGAGCAGCAGGCTGGTAACAGAAGCAGCTGTCGTCCCTCTGGAGACAGGCTTAACACCTTACCCTGTGTTCCTATCAGGGACTCTGCCCTGTACATACAGTTTGGGGCAGGAACTAAGCCCTACAGCTGACACTACACTCTCACCCCAGACACACACACACACACACACACGCACAGGAGAACACTTCAAAGCTGTAAAATGCAACTTCTAAAAGGCGGTTTACTTTATAGGTCTAATGAATGTAAAAGAGAAAAAAAATTACATTTCCTTAAGACTCGGTGTAATAGCCTTCTATCCTTTATCATGTGTCAGGGCCTGGGACTGGCCAGGTCTCGGCCCAGTTTAGGTAGGTTCTGGACGCAGACCACTAAGCAACCTTGCTCAGGAACAGCTTCTCTTAGGTACCTGGGTGCTATCTACCTTAGCTGGAGAGAGAGAGAGAGTGTGTCTTAGAGTGAAGCCGTCTTCTTAGCATAGATAGATCTTAGTCTTTAGTAGAGCTGGGTAATCTTCAGCAGAGAGACACCATGCTGGCGTTCTGCAGGCAGGAGAGGAGACAGAGTCAGTAAGCGTGTCCGTGATAGAATGCACATGCTGCCAACTGCCTTCTCCTCCAGCCTAATATAAGGCTGATCTTGTGCTTCTCAACACCACATGTGTAGAGACTGCCAATTCACTACTGCTCTCATCTTGCGAGCTCTCATGCTTGTTAGGTGAGCTAAATCTCTCTGCATGCCCTTTTCACCAAGGTGTTCCATCATTGAGCTATACAGGTATTTCTTATAACTATCACTCCTCCTAGCCATAAGCTATACAGGCTACTACAATCGTGGGATAAGAAACATCAGTGTTTCTTTGTATCTCTGTTAGTTGACACTTTTTATTTATCTATCAGTCCGTCATTTTCAGTTATTAAAAGGTAAATTGGTGGGATTTTTTCCCTTTTCTGCTTGGGATCCCAATTTATTCTATGTCTCCAGACTAGAAAACCTTTTTAACTTTTTATAAATTAGTTTTTATTTAAAATGAAGTTGAAGTAGACTGAGTAATGGCCTCTCAAATATGTCCATGTCCTAATTCCTGGAACCTGTGAATATTATATGGCACAAGGGACTTTTTAAAGTAAGAGACTTTGTAGATGTGATTAAATTGAGAATCTTGAAAGGGAGATATTATTCTGGATTACCTAAGTGGACTTGATATCATCTAAATTATCCTTACAAGAGGAAGCAGGAGTCAGAAGGAAGGCAATGTGATGTGGAAGATGGAGTGATACATTTTGAGGGTGGAGGAAAGGCCACAAACCAAAGAATGCAGGTGCCTTCTAGAAGGTGGAAAAGGCAAGGAAATGGATTCTCTCCCAGGAGCCTCCTAGAGGAACCAGCCCGGCCAACACCTTGATTTTAGCCCAGTGAAACACATTTCTAATTTCTGACCTCCAAAACTATAAGAAAATAAGCTTGTGTTGTTTTAAGCCACAGAGTTTGTGGTAATTTGTTACAACAGCAATAGGAAACTAGTACAGAAGTTGTAATATATTAGTTTCCTGAAAAGGTCATATTTCTCTTATAGCCTTGAGCAAATAAGCTTCCCTCTGCCAACAAATAATTATCCATGAAAAATGAAAGATTAGTTAAGTGAGTTTGAATAGGAGAGTAAGAAGCATTTTTATTTGGTTTTGCTCATTTGGTTAGTGTTCAATATGCAGAAGACTTCCTGGATTTGCTTGAATAGAGACAGAAAATTGCAAGGAAATAAAGAGTTAACATAAACTGGCTTTGAATGAAAGCCTAAAAGAAGAGGAAGAAGCGAGTGGAAGATGTCAAAGACATTTCACTTAAGTTGTGCTCTGGTTCAGTCTCTTGTCTTTCTTTATCTTTCAGCAAAGACTGAGTCCATGTTTCTAGAATAGACAGAATAAGCCTTGGAAACAGCCCTCTCCAAAGATGGATAATTTGTTCCTTTTAGCTTTTGTCTTAAAGGTTATATTCTGGCTGCCCCAAAGAAGTAACAGCTGCTCAGGATAGTTTATCTTTGAATAACCCATCTTCCTAGTTAAATAATTGAACTTGGTATGCCCAAGATCTAAATTGAAGGGATCAGTTTATGTTGTAAGGGGCTACCCATGGAAGAATCAAAACATTGGCTGAATTCCTTTTTTTTTTTTTTTTTT